TGATCTAATTATTGCTCCAACTGAGTCAGTCTGCCAGCTAAAGGCATGTTTTACAGTCTCTATATTCCATTAATTGATTACTAAAATAGTTGAAGTCTATTTCAATAGTAAAAAATACACAAAATGTCAGGAGGGTGAATACTTTAAAGTTAAACACCTTTTTTTTTATGAAAATAAGCTTCATTGTGATTTCTCCTGTCCGATAAGGTGCATTTTTGTTTTTTCTGCAGCCGTTTCGCTAGTTTGTTGTTTTCTGCACCTCTTCCAGCTTTTATCGCTTTATTCGTAAATATCTTCCTTGGTGTTTAAAAAGCGAAACTTCTGGACAAAGCCACTGCTGGCGGTTTGAGCAATAATCGGTAGCCATGTTTGTGTGTAAAATGCAAATAAACCAACTCAGCAGGGACACAGATCTGCTCGACGTCTGAGATGAACCAGAAGCAGCCCTCGCCAACCCGATCACCGCAGACAATTATCACAGAAGCTCGGGGGTCGGGAGGTAGCCTGCTAATACCTAAAGGCTCTCGTGACCATCGCGGTGTGTCAACAGTTCAGCTTCAGTTCGTTTAAGGTCATTTTACATCAGTTACCTGCGATGACAACCACGAAGACCAGGCTGCGCTGTTTGGCAGAGTTTATAGCCTCAGGAATCGATCCCTCAAACCAAAGCATTGCTGAGTTTTTAGAGTCTTCGTCTTCAATCTGCTGTGACATCAGCAGTAATAGTAGCAGTAATACCTACTTCTTCTTCTTCTGTGCTGCCAATTCTTCTTCTTTTGTATCATGAGGGATTTCAAGCAGTTTATAGAAGCATAGCGCCACCTAATGTTCAGAAGTGTTTAATACCCACAAGCAGCACAGTGGCAGTAAATAGAGAAATTAATTAAACAACCAAGTTCGAAAGAAAATATAGTGTTTTTTTAACTTGATACACATTTCTCAAAAAAATGACACATTTTTAATAAAATACAAAATTATGAATTTCACTGCGCATGATTGGAATATAGGTAGTTCTTGCAGACTGCAGCCATAACTCCTGGTGCCTGTTACTTTAGTAAAGTTAGAAAGATATTCACAGATTCGGCTTGTCCGGATCAATAACTCGTCGCCGGATCATCATCAGAGGAGCCCTGATGATCTTCTCTGCTGTTCTCACCACTCTCCTCACTTTCTTCCAGTCTGAGAGGCTGAGCCTCCACACCACACAGCAAGGTCATCGAAACGCTCTCTATGGTGCTTCTGTAGAAGGTGGTGAGGATGGGTGGGGGCAGGTGGGCTCTCCTCATCCTCTGCAGGACTTACATGCACTTTTGTGCCCTTTTGATCAGTGAGATGGTGTTTACAGTCAAGGTGAGGTTGTCTGTGATGTGCACCACCAGGAATTTAGTGCTGCTGACCACCTCTAAAGCTGAGCTGAGCTGTTGATGAGCAGTGGAGTGTGGCTATGCTGGTTCTTCTTGAAGTCAGTGATGGTCTCCTTCCGCTTCTCCACATTCAGGATCAGGTTGTTGTCTCTGTATCAGCCCACCAGCTGCTCCACCTCTTCTCTAGTTCTGGTCGATGTCGTCTCTGATGAGGCCCACCACCGTGGTGTCATCTGCAAACTTCATAATTTGATTGATGGTGAACCTGGGGATACAGTCATGTGTCATCAGGGTGAACAGCAGGGGGACGCGGCCCTGAGGGGAGCCTGTGCTTAGGATGATGACAGAGGTGTTCTGTCCGACCCGGACTGACTGAGGTCTGTTTGTAAGGAAGCCTAGCAGCCAATTGCAGAGGGGTGTGTTGATCAATAACCCAGCTGTTCTGATTTGCCCATTAAATGCTGTGGGATGAGGGTGTTGAAAGCTAAACTGAAGTCCAGGAACAGCATCCTCATGTGGGTGTGCTTCCCCTCCAGTTGTGCCAGGCTCAGTTGAATAGCAGCAGAGATGGCGTCCTCAGTGGAGCATTCCGCCAGTAGGGAAACTGGAGCCGGTCGAATGGTGGCAGCAGACGAGAGACCATGTGTTCTTTAACCAGCCTTTCAAAGCATTTCATCATGATAGGAGTCAGAGCGACAGGCCGGTAGTGATTGAGTGAGGTGACCTGAGGCTTTTTTTGGGACCGGGATGATGGTCGCAGACTTGAAGCATGTTGGCACAATGGATTGGTCAAGCAAGGTGTTGAAAATGTCTGTGAGGACACCAGCCAGCTGATCTGCACATTCCTTGTACACCCACCCAGGTAAGTTATCGGGGCCCGGGGGCCTTTCTTGGGTTGACTCTTCTTAGAGTTTACTTCTGTCTCGGTCCATCACAACTTCACTTCAACTACGTCCAGGTTTAGTGTCCTCTCCTCCTGTTGTGGAACAACTTTCACTGCTGGAGTGCTGTTAAGTGCCTCAATCCTTCCAAAGAATTTGTTCAGTTTATTTAGGATGTCAGCCAAAAAAAGGAGAGGAGCCTGATAACTAAAAGATCTGCCTCCCATTCTACTTTTAGAAATTCTAGGAACCACTAGTTAACCTGCAGATTGAGAGATAAGTGCTCTGTTAGGAACATAAGGAACAATCATATCTCTGATATAAGATGGAGCTTGGCCATTTAATGCTTTATATTTCAGAAGAGGTTTCTCAGCATCACTAGTTTCTAGTGATGCTAAACTAGTTTCTCAGCATCACCCCTGGACAGGACATTTCTAATTTTTTTTTTTTGCAATATTCCGCAGATGAAAGAAGGACATTCTAGAAACCTCTTTGATATGGGATTTAAATGACAGGCCCTGAAAAACAACACAAAGATTTTTTACTTTATTATCTGCAATCAATTTAATCTGATCCAAATGAAATCACTGACTAATCAGCTTATTTTTCAAAGACTCCAAAGACTATAACTTCTGTTTTGTCTGCATTTAGAAGGAGAAAGTTAAGAGTCATCCAGG